ATGTGTTGAGAAATACAAGCATTTTTTGACAAAAAAAAAATTTGCCCCCCTCTAGAAAAAATCCTGGCGACGCCCATGTAGAAGGCCAAAAAGAAATAAATAAATAAAGCCCAGACGCATACAAGGATATCCCCAACGGGAAAACGTGATGAAGAAAAAGTAAGTAATGGATGTTTTTTTGACAGCTTAGACAGACAGACAACAGATTTCGCAAATGAGAGATTTTGAGTGTTTGTTTCTCGCATCTTAAGACCTTATCAATCTTTCTGCTTGTCGTATCAAAACAACAATGCCATATGTCTCGCTAACGATGAACATATTGAAACAACTGCCCCTCTCCTTGCATCCGCTAACAATCAAATTAATTTGGCACCCACTGGGAATTGAATGGCATTTTTTTCCGTCCTGTCAATTACGGACAGAACTCATAATTTAAGAGGGCGAAATGCCGTAAAAATTGTCAGTTGCTCACGGCAACATTAGTACGGCAGATAGGTGATGGGATTGTGCCTTTGATGGTACATCAAGGAATTTGGCACACGTACAGAGCATGTCTTGAGCAAGATATTTGGCTATAGGGCCATCGAAGATTTGTCCTTTGAAAAAATATAGGTACAATAATCAGCAATGGCAGCCATTTTGAGCAACAATATTTTTCAACGGACAAATCTGCGATGGCCATATAGCCAAATATCTTTCTCACGCCATACATGTACTCTGAATGTGTGCCAAATGCCATGCTTGTATCATCAAAGGCACAATTAATTCCCCAAAATATATCTTCCCGATCTGCCCCACTACATGGAAAGGATTTTGCAAAGTATTTTGAGTGAAAATGAAGAAATAAAAATAAACCAATAAAAATGGTCGTAACCTTAGGACCAGCAGCCCATTTTGCCACACGCACATTTCAACTTGTGCGTTCTGCGAGCGATTTTTGACCGGCGTGGCACAAAATGGCAGCTGGTAATTTCGAATATTTGAATATTCAGTCAAATATAGTGTCAAGTAATCGAATACTAATTATTTCGAAAATGAACAGGCCTACGCAACAGTATATCCTTAATACTTTTCACGTAATTTTTTTTTTACGTTACAAAAAATTAAACTTTCTGGCAAACAATTTTAGGGTCAAACCGGTACAAAAATAAGAATTATATTTAATTGACAGCAAGGTTTGGGGTCTTGCTGTCTAAAAAAAACCTATTTACTTACATATTCAAAGCAAATAAGCAAACTAATGGTACTGCTACACAAACAAGAACAACAAAATTTCAGAGCCAGATTTGGTACGGACTCCTTGCCTCAACAAACAACAAAAGTGCTTGGAATTCATCTTAACATTGACCGCACTGTGATTATAGGACACTTTTCTGGTGTACACATAGTAAGAAAAGCGTCCTTCAAAATTTGCACTCTTTGCCGTTTAACCAGTTCACGCCGGGGTTATTTTGACAAGAACGGAACGAGGCGCGGCATATATTTTCACTCGACCTCAAGCCAGGCGGGTTGAAGCCATCACCCTCGGGCAGCACACTCATATTTCTGGCCCCGCTCTTTAGACCAATGTGAGCAGATTTGCTGCTTAACTACGCAAGACAACCGCCTCTTGACCTCTAGATTTTGACCAATCAGCGGGCGCTTTCTATATCGGATCTCCGGTCATTCAATGGTTATTACTCATGCACTCTGTATTATGTTACGCGATACGCGCCAAGCTCGTCTAGGTTTCATAGATGCCTGGCCATTGTTGTATTACAAAACACTGCATGGAACTGACCAATCAAACGTTTAGTCCTGATTTGGGAATGAAAGGACGTCACGATTTTGTAAAGTCAACTCCGATTGGCTGAGGCTTATGATCCCATCAATCTGCATGCTTTGACATATCAGACGTTAGACAGGAGGCTGGGCTCCGTGGATCATTTTTGATACGCGGACTAGCTGCGAGCAGGTCGCTAACAGATCTATATATCCGGCCTCCAGTCCCTGCATGTTAATCTGTCATCCGTTCTGAATACCGCAAAACTTTTGCGTGTATACACAACCGGCGCAAACTGGTTAAACTCCGGCGCAAACTGGTTAAACAATGAGGACCTTTCAGGCATGCTGGAGTCTGCATCTATATACACTTTCCAACAAATATTTTTGGAAGAAATAAGAAAGATACTTTACCGGTTCTGCTACTGCTGTTAATCGGACGTAGAGGGGTGGTGCGTCAGACATTAGAGGTGCGAGGAGAGTCAGTGTTACAAAGAGAAAGGGCAAAAGAAGAAGTCAGTGTTAATTCAAAGACACAACAAACATATTATATTTAACAAAGAAAAGGGCGTTAATTTTAACATGTTACAAGTACATGGAGAACAGTGTTAACTCACATTCATTAACACTTAAGACAGTTTACCCATTCCTATTGGTCGAGAGCCCGTCACGTGGCCGGATTTAAACAGTACCGAAAGGCTTCATGTCCTGAATCCATCAAAATCCCCCAACTTTTTCAATATGAAGGTATCCTGAATGCGTCGAAATCCCCCGAAACAGGGGTGTGGATTTTGATGGATTCAGGTTCGTTAGGGTTAAAGGAATCCACAGTATTATGAGCTCCACGTGCCAACAACAGAGGGTGCTTTTGTACCACTTCAAGAGCGCGTATACATGTAGTGTGAAATACGCACAACTTATTTTATTCTGAAGCAAACAAAGCCATAGCGTCTTTACGTGTGTGTCAGGCGTCGTCAGCAATTATGTTCAAATGTCTCTTCCAGTGGTCTCCCCCACATACAACATTTGCTTTTGCTGTAATTTTCAGAATTGGACGGATTTGGGGGTTTGTATTTTATAGCAATATTGTTACACTGACCTGTTTAAATGTTTGTGTTCATAGATGCTGGAAAAATCAAGACAAAAAAATGCTGTTCTGGTAGTCTGGTTTCCTGACCTATACTTCAAACGAAACAGAGCAGTTTATATAGACGTCGGGGAGTTGTCAGGTCAGGGAACCAGACTAGCTGGCTCGCACCCATTCACGAATGTGTAACCGATTGCCAAAACAATGTGGACGGGCTACTTAAATTTGGTAAATTGGGGGCAGTATTTGAAAAAAAAAGTCAGCTTTTTTTCCAACGATGGTCTGCCCTGCCATGATTCAACAGAATGCTTTACAGTATTATTCACTTAGGCCAAAAAAAAAAGTCTCCGGTTTCTGGTATGCGTGCGCGTCGCCGTAGCCATGCGCGTCGGCAAAATGAAAAAAGTTTTTTTTTCAATGAAAGATGATGTCTCAAAACCGCCAACTCACTGGTTTGACTGGAATCCTGCTGCTGCAAAATTTTAACGTATTTTTAGATTGGGTTATGGTCGAGAATAAGCTCTATGTGGCCTCTCTGGACTCCCATATATTTGCACTAAGTTTAGTCGGGCACCATTTGCAGTCATCAGCCGACATTTGAAGCAAAAAAAATCAGGTAAAAAAAAAAAAAAGCCGCGTCACCGCACCACTTTTTGGGCAAGCTCCATACCAGAAACCGGAGAGACTTTTTTTTTGGCCTTATACGGTCAAGTACGGGTATTTCATAATAATTTCAGGTAGTTTTTTTTTTTAAGTGTTTGGAAATGTTGTATAAACCTTTAACGTTGATGGGTTATTTGTACAGAGAGCCCACTACTCATAAAATCATACAATTCATTTTATCAAAATAAGAATGGTTTATCATTTGAAAAAAAATGTCCGTATTATCCTAGAGGCTGCAGCGCTAAAGGTTAGCAGTCAATCCAGGCGGCCATGAGATCATTATTTAGCCATTCAACGGCCACAATAATCAAATAATATAGCCGTAATTACGTTTTCCCCTACTTACATCGAGCCAAGCCTGCAGAGACCACCAATGAAATTAGTTTCGGTCAAGGATGTTCAATTCTTGTTCTTTCAATTTTTTGTTTGTTTAATTTTTATTAATTATTTTTGTTTTGTGTTTGTGTTCTGTGAATTTTGATCACAGGCTGTGACCGGTTGTGACTATGAGTGGAGCATGAGATTTAATTCTCTTGTGTGTGGGAGTGTGTTTGCAATTGATCAATATTTAATTGAGAGTGACGAGAGAATGTATTCCAAAATCTCCCCCGTCCCCCCAAAAAAGCCAAAATATTCAAAAGACAAATTTGCAATGCTAGATAAAATTCTTAATGCAACGGGGGATTTTTGAAAGATCTAGCATTGATGGTAGCGTAGAGTACTGACCATTTGTAATATGTGCATTTGTTTTCTTTTGAACCAACAGAATTAAGTACTCAAAATCTAAAGACCGATGCTTAAAGGGAAGATACAACATTTGCAAACATCAAAAAACGAAATGAGCAAATTACCAAGAAATACTGGATTGTTAGGGAATGACAGGCATGGCCCCTGTTGCCCCCCCCCCCTGTATCGGCTGGTATAGGTTATAACACATGTGGGAATGGTGGTTGGCTGTATGGGCTTAACCATTTCTTGAAGGGGGAAGATCTCACTACAGTGAGGAGGGCCTCGACAATTTTTTGAAGAACACGATCGCGCAACAGTGAGGTGTAGATATGGCAAGCTGTTATACAGGCACTGCACTCTATACCGTACACCGCCACGTTTGGCGGTCTACCAGAGACCAAGCAATTGGCCTGTTCCTATAGGTATGTTCTGAATGGGCACTGCACTAGTTAAAAATGTTAACATATTAGTTTGGTTGTTAATTGTTCACTCCAGTGTATAAAGAATACGGCTTTGGGTGCAAACGTTAAACTAATAAAAATCATTCACAAAAGGAAATTGTAAAAAGTAAATTGCAACATGTACAGTAATTATTTTTTTGAATTGGGCAAAATTTGTGCAAGTTAGGTCCCCATGTGTACTGCCCTCGTGCGGTTGGGAGCAAGCCTAATAGAGTCTTCGCTCGTACCCCGCCCTGCAAACAGGACGCTGGGATACTCTGATGAATTCACGGTCTTTCTATGTCAATGCAATGGTTTACCTTGCCCTTGCTAGTTGCTTCTTTTCTTCATCGGATCTCTCGACTCTTCCGTCTTCCGGTGCGGCCTCTAAATCTTTTAAGACTCTGCCGGTTAAGAGACAATGCCAGATTTTATCAGGGAAAGTCAACCCAGAAAGGAGGTTAAATTAAAAATAAACCCTGGCATATTCATGAGCGATATTGCGTTGTAACCATAGAGCTATATTAAATTACTAGAGGGCTAGACTTGTGTACAAAGTGATATGCTGGGCGCATCCATGTTTGTACACAAACCTATAGAAAACTCAAAATTTTGTAAGGGATTTGTACGGCTCTTTGCATATTTGTGTTTGTATTATATGCAGGTGCGTTACCGAAGCCGATACGCCCTAAAACGAAATGCAAGATCAGCAAATGAGCGTGTCATTTTGCTGTGCGCAAACAGCGCGATTAATCATTACCTTTTTTTTTAACCGTAATGACGCGCTGAAGTTGTTTGCGTACGTTCTACTAGCAGATTGCATTTAGAGTACACTTTCAAATTTCAATCCATCTAATTTCATTGTTTTCTACAAACATGCACATGAATTTGTAATGTCTGCGCCTAGGACGGCTTCAAAGCGTCTCCGCGCGCAAGAATGAGGAGTTAGCGCTCTAGTAATTTAATATAGCTCTATGGTTTTAACATCGTTAGTGTTTGTGCTTTTACAACTGAATTTTGTAAGCCGTTGTCCATTGTCTCCGGTCCAACGTCTGATAATTATATCTAAACAAGCAAAGTTATGTGCTCTTGTGCGCCAGCCATCGGCATCAACTTTACAAAATTGTGACTTCGTTTCAATCAGAAATATGGACAAAGCTAATGATTGGTCAATTTGAATGCCAAACACCAACGCCGGGCATCGAGCTAGAGATCTATGAATATATCCCAGGCACAATGTTGGATATCTCACAACTGTTAGCAAAATGCTGCGCGTATAGAATACGCGAACATTCACTGTGTGTGTGACATGAATGCGCAAGAGGGCGTTCGCATTACGCGCGTTACTTATTGTTTGATGATCATTCGGAGCCACAGGATGTTCGCGCATCGCGTAACATGTTGTTACAGGCCATGTGAGGCAGTCTAACACAATTCACAAAGTAAAAGCATACTAGGTGTCGTGTCTGTGTTTTATTATATGTCTACGTCACAACGGGTCACCGAAAACCTGATATAGGAGGCACCCACTGAATGGTCGGAATCTGGAGGTCAAGTCGCAGTCTTGATTTGCATAAATAATTGCCGAATCTGCTAAAATATCATAGATTACAAAGGGGAAACTATAGTTCGAGGTTCCTTTCATTAGTGCTTCAATGTTGAAATGTCAGAGTTTTACTCCATTTCCAATGCCAAATTTTGCTATGGCCCTTTCTGTGTGTTAAAATAAATTTGCTTTTATTGTTATTATTTTTTTTTATTAAAGAGGACTGTATCTTTTTTATGCATATAATTTGCCCTGAACAAGGCTCTGGATACAGGGCTACTAGAGAAATATAATGCTACATGTAGGTTCACACATTCCCAATTTTTAAGCCGAACCGCTGTGAATAGCAAATCTTGAGTAAACCGGTTCTTGGCTGCCTCGGGATGATTCTGTAAGTTCAGTGGAAGATCGTTAAAGATCGGGAAGCGCCGTCAATTTTGGACATGTTCAACATCATTTCGGGAACCAATTTCAATTCTGGGTTTATTCTTGTTGTATTCATAACTAATTCTGGATATTCTTACAGGCTTCTGGGAACTCTTACAGCATTTCTCACAAGATTCGTAGAGTTTTTTTGGTGTTGAACAGTCCAGAATCATGCCGAATCATTACGAATGTATCAAGAAATGTACTAGTTAAGAATAACTTACAAATACACTAAAGCGGCACAATTCTGGGTCATGATACTTGACTTAAATCGTAAGTTATTCTTGACAAAATTGCTACAATTCAGTTTTATTAAGCATTGTCAGCCTGCTTATTACTTGGGTCAATATTGGTCAAGACCCCCATTGGTTTGTACACAGTAGGCCAGGAGGTGAGGAAGAAAATTTTGACCATTGGTGACCTCTTAAGCAAAGGGAGGGTTCTAATCAAATCGCAATCATTCGGCTTGGTTCGATCTGAATCGGCTTCCAATTTGTACCTAGTTCTTATTTCTGTTTCATTATTACAAAGTCATTCTTACAAACAGCGGATTGGGGCTAATTTCTCCCGTTGCCATCAAGAATTTTGTTTCAGGATAGACCGGGGTATTTGTAGCCTTTAGTCAAGTCCCGAGCGCCTATACCCGGACCATCCGGACCGTAACGTACCTCGGATGCTGGAACGTAATAACTAGCCTTTACTATCTCGTGGAACTAATCACTTAATCATTTATTCACGTAATATAAATCAAGCAATATAAACCAATCATCTTACGGTGGTTTGCGGTTACCAGCAACAGCTCGCACGCCATGGTGCGCGTGCTGTCTGGCGCCAGACAACGGCTGATTTACGTTAGTAATTCTGCATTTTCATTGGTCAATTCACAACGGGTAATGCATTATGCATGTCTACCAAATCGGTAGGCAAATGTAAAAAAAAACATAAGCGTTCTCCACGAGATGATAAAGGGCTTCGCCGCTCGTGCTAGTCTTTTTAAGTGTCAGCATCCGGGGTACGTGGGGTGTCCAGGTAAGCGCGTGGGACTTGACTAAAGGCTAGGGTATTCGTGGCAGTAAGTCGGGAATGTGTGACACTAGCATAAAGAAGAGTAGCCGCTCAGGAAAACTGAAGGAAGTGAAATTTCAGGACAGATCATTGGTTGGAGGGAAAAGCACCAGGCAAGGAATTCCAAAGAGATGCAGCACGTGGGAAAAAAGATTTAAAATGGCCTAACAGGCTTTGCTTAATCTGACCCCACTCAAGATAGCCATCCGAGCGCTCAACCCGCCAGGTTTTAGTCACTGAAACATTTGTGTTTCTGACGCTCGTTCTATCGTCATGACGCCACGCTTTGCCATTAATGTAATTTAGCCAACATAGCAACTCTGTAATAAAATGAACATGCAAGGAATCTCCCGTCAATAAATCGCTCTCCAGACATATCGATCCCCCACCTACGTATTTTTATCAACCCACCCGATATCGCCAAGCTGGTTTTTTTTAATTCCGGCTGTAATTTATTCTAGTCACGTTCCAGGCGTTTGCTCGAGGCACATAGTCTGCCCGTGAGTCAAGCACGCTCAATTGGCGCTCGTATGCACAAAGCTACGTTTATTTTGGCACGGAGGTGCAATTAAACACGGTGTTCGGAATCGGCGAACCGTTGCAGATTTCTTCAGCAAACAGGCACCCTTGCGAGTTCCTGTCCAAAAGTGTAGACTTTTTCATTTTGATTATTCAGGGTGTTTCAAAAAAAAGGAAACCGAGCTTATTTTGTTGATTTCTCGGGTATGACTAATTATTTAGGAAAATGGTAGCCAGGTCTGTTACATATAACCATGTCTTCTTTTTCTTGACACCACAAACTCCATTTTACCGTCACGGATGGCTGAGCACCAAGTGCCATTGATAAACAGATGTCAGTTCACAGTGTGTGAGACTTTTCACTCGATCGACACTTCTTGCAAACTGCAGAGCACGATGCCGACTTATACAGAGGAATTTTTATGTGGTTTTGAGGAAATGGGACTGAAAGTAACACGCCGATAAAATGGCCGTCTAATAGAAATGAAAATGTCAATGGAAATGCATAGAAACAATCGGGACTTTTGTCAGACGGCCGATTTAAGCGACATGACGGTTTATACAATGTCGTTTAGCCGGAGTTTACTGTATATGAAATAAAAGGAATGGAACTTACAGCATGTCATTTGTTCTTTCGTCCGTTGTTGCCTTCAGGTTCATTTGACTGCGGAATAAAAATCAAGAATTTATAAAAATTGTTAACAATGTAAATATTTGTGAAACACTTATTGCAGTGATTCAAGAAATATTCTACAAATGTAAGCTCTCAAGAAATTGGGGGGGGGGGGGGAGGCAACCTTTGTTTCCAGGGTGTCAAGTACACTCCCACCACTACGGTACCTGCTTTCTCACCCTGGTATTGGATTATTTGCGTATCCAACAATTTTGAATTAGGAATAGTCTGGTGCCTGCCCGTGCTTAGCGTTTATTTTTATAAGCAGTGTCTGGGGTAACAACAGAATCAATTTGTCGCGCCGTGAGTTACGAAAACACACTTTTTTTTTTAAATGTTTAAAGTTAAAATGTTACAATCTTATTTCACCAATATGCAGTGTCACATTTCATATCAATATGAGCAAATTGGAAAGGAAAGGAATATTTTTAGGACGTTATAATTACAATGATCGTTAAAACACGTATTGCTTGTTGGAAATAACAACACCAACTGCACGATATAAATCCATTACTTAGCCAATTGCGGTATCGAATCAGGATACAGGAAGAAATTGTTTCCTATCCAGGGTTTACTATTGGAAACAAGGTTGGAAATAAAGTAAGCCCGGGAGGGGGGGGGGGGGAGGGGGCTAGATCTGCTTTCGTCAACAATCAACATCATAACTCTGTTTCTGTTTTTAAAAAATTCAGAAATGCAGCAGATTCACAAATTGCGCAGAAAGAAAAAACTGTGACTAGAAAATATTTAAAAGTAAGAACTTATCAAGTATTTGTTCCTAATTCAGAGACTTCAATAAAGACAACTTAATATAAAGTGTGACACCATGGGCTGCAGCTAATTAAGGGACACATTTTTTTTCAGTGTTGAAAAGCTTATGAACTCTACCTTCCAATATGTATCCATATTTGCGATGTATTTTTTTTTAAACCTGTAGAAAAAGAGGGCGATTTTATGGATTTTTTTGGGGGGGGGGGGCGACCACCCTGTAGCAGGATAATAATAATAATAATTTGGGAGGCTAATCATCCTTACTCGCAGCTGGTATGCTGAATTGCGAAGGACGCGGCTGCAACGTGGTCAGGCTGCTGGCACGTAAAGGCGCCTATGGCTGCCGGCCACATCGACCCATATATGACCACGGAGCACCGCCTGAGATCGAAAGTGTTTGATTTTTCCGGACGGAGGAAAACCGGAGGGCCCGGAGAAAAACCCTCGTGGCACAGGAGGGAACCAACGCACAACTCTACTCACATGTGATCCGCGGCCAGGATTCGAACCGTGGTCACCTTGGTGAGAGGCGAGCGCTTTACGCACATTAAGCCACCCATGCCACACTAGCTTGAAAATTAGCTCCGCTTGCGGCATTAACCCTCCTATGCAAACATACATTCTGTATACATTCTGGGCCCAGTAGTCCTTTCAGTCAAAATAAACTTTGTTTTTAATAGTTAAAAATTCCCGGCCTACATAAAGCAGGGTTGACGGGCTGTGACTGTTAAATGTAACGTGATACAGCTATGCTTTGACTCCGGGTGATTGATAAGCCAGCTGTGGCCAGCTTTGTCTGCTCATGGTCTGTTGACTGAGTTTGACTAGTCACAGTGCTTGCTTGGCACATGATCTGAATGCTGGTGACTAGCCTGTGTTAAAAGCATAGCAGGGGACGTAAAAGTGAATTTTGACTGTCTACGACTGTTTCAATAGCAGGAGGGTTAACGGTCCTGAGGGTTTTTTAAAATAAAAAAGGTCACAATTCTCTGAGTGGATTACCTTTCACGATTAATTTGCATGACAATAACATTTGGAGCTACAAATATCGCCCCGTGTTCACTAAACAAGCAGCCTAAAAAACCCAAACTCCAATTTATAAATGATGAACGGTGGATCGAGTCGATTCCCTTTTCCCATCGTGGAAATGAACGCGCTTCGCCCTCCGGCACGGAACACAGAGACGACAAATTAAATCATGCCAGCGGCCGAAACATATCAACCGATACCGCCAACAAAGGAGATGACAGAAGGGATTTAATGGAGTTAGGTAGAGTCTTTTTTTGGGGAGTCTAGGGCCCCTCTTAATTTGTTTAGCGATATGGTAAGGGACAGGCATTGCTCAATTGCAAAATGCCAAGGCTATACGGTCGTCATAACAATATTTTCAGAGGATTACTGCTCGGGTATGCCAACATGCACAAAGCTTTGTTGTATTTTTTTTTGTCATGCTCAGGTATTTTATTTGTTATTTTAGTGAACATGGTTAGCTGCACATAGGTTGCACGATTATGACAGACTTCATGGGGAGGAATTAAAAAAAAAAGAATTTGAAGTGAATATACGTCATTGTTGAGAATGAAAATATAAAAAAAAAGAAATGTTTGCTCTTTGTACCTGTACATATTAAAATTTTCAGCTTTTTTTTGAAAGGCATGTCCATGTATGTTCATGTACAGCACGTCCAAAAATATCTGCGGCATTTTTTTGCTAGGCTCTAGTGTCGCCGCGGAAACACGTACCGCCATTATTTTTATATCATTTTAAAGCTTGGAATCTTTATCCCTGGTAAGTATTGGTTTGATTTTCAAAAGGGTTTTGAAATGATTTGTGCTCAAATAAAGGCATGTCCAAAAAAACTCAACCGATTTCAAGGAAAATCAATCATCACATTTTTCTCATGTGAAATGGTTCATCATGTTCATGATGTGACGATCTCGTTGCCTTTTACTTTCTGTGTTTCCTATTCTTTTCGATTTTCGTAGACTACACTGTTCACCTTAAATGAATTCACAATATTGTTCTTCGTTTCAAATTCAATTTTGAAATGCACGTGCAAGTATGTACCTATTCAAATAGCGTGCTCAAAGTGTGACTCCAGTTTGCATCTGATGTACCGCATCATCGATTTTCCTTGAAATCGGTCCAGCTTGTTTTCAACGTGCTGTTATTTGAACACGAATACTTTCAAACTCTTTTAAATATCAAACCAATACTCGCAAGGGATAAAGTTCAGATTCCAAGCTTTTAAAACGGTATAAAAATAATGGTGGTATGTTTTTCTGCACCAACGCAAGATGCCTCAAATGTTGGGACCATTGTTTTATTGAAGTTCTGCATGTAGCACTTGCAAAATCTAGGACATGAAAGCCTAATATTCAAAAGCTTTGAAGAATCATTCAAATCACTTATGTACTTTTCAAGTTACGGAATTTTACACACAACCACCATTTTGAGGTTCTGTCCACGGATCACAAAGAAATTCAGTGTTAACAAATCACATAGGGATGTGTGTGAACTGTTTTCCTTTTGCTGAAAGAACACACACCTTTTTGCTGATCCATGGACAGAAATTCAAAACGGCGGTTGTGTTTAAAATTCCGTAACTTGAAAAGTACACGAGTGATTTGAATGATTCTTGTACTAAAACAAAGCGTATGAATTGGGCTTTTATATCCTAGATTATGAATGTGCTACATGTACATGCAGAACTTCAATGAAAAAATGGTACCGACATTTGGGTTTCGTTTTTTTCCACTTACCCTGTATGTACATACAGTAGCGGGTAGGGTGGGTTGGGGTGGGGTGGGGTAGGTACCATACATATGGGGGGGGGGGCTTAGGTTGGGTGGGGTTGGTTGGGGTGGGTAGGGTAGGGTAGGGTAAGATGTTTTAGGGGTTTGGATGGGGAGGGGTTGGGGTAGGGAGAGGTGGGGTGGGATGAGGTAGAATAGTGAGTATGTGAAGATTGGGAGGAGTGGAAAGGGGGGGGGTAGGTTTGGAATTTGGAAGGCATTTAGAGGTTTGAATCACTCGTCTCCTGTTCAAGTCTGCTCTAAATTTTGCTTGCTATTCCCAAACATTTGAAACTATAATGCCCAAACTGTTTTTCTTGACACATTCATTTCAGACCCTACTCAAAATCACAGAGAAAAAGCGGCACAGAATGAATACAGAAACTTTGGAAATTGAGAAATGTCATCAGACAAATGATAGGTATGGCCTTGCACGCTAACAAGTGCTATTTTTGGTCCTGCTAATGATCAGTTTATGTCTTCTTCACAAATGACCTCTGAGAAAACATATGAGTTCAGTCATTAACGCGAGGCCAGCGTGACAGGAGGCAAAAGGGAAGGCCTAAAATTCATTTGACATTTGAGCAGAATTTTGGTACCGGGTAGATGTCAGAGACAGCTTTGGGGTACAGAGAGCGGGATAGTTGCGCACCGAAACGGGGGGGGGGGGGGGGGGGGGGGGGGGGAGACAATCTCGCTAATGCCAGTGGTTTTTCAAAACGGCAGCGCCACGCAGAGGAAAGACTCGCGCCAATTTTCATCTGAAAACATTTATTTTTCGATAGATTCTGTGAAATACGTGGCAACGGATGAAATTCAATACAGTTATTGCTATTTTATTCTACGTTTTCTGGTGTGATTTAAATCAACGTTTTCAAGAAAATGTCATTTTAGATCGTCGTCTGCTTTCCATTTCACACCATCATGGGTAAAAAGGGACAACTTAAGTTGGGATTTTTGAAACGTTCTCCAGTTTCCCCAAATATACCACTTATCACAGCATCTGAATGAGGTATTCAACTTAAAAATGTCATTATGGGTTTGCGAGTTATTTGCGAAAAGGTTTGCATTTGTTAGGTAGGATTGATTTTTGTAGTTTCTGTCGAACAATTACCGTGCCCGATGCTCTGTGTGTCTTTGGCGTTGCAAGGTTATTTTTATTGGGTGGGGGGGGGGGGGGGATACACGTGAAAAAAGGCACTCGTCTCATCCATGCTGAAAGGTAGACAGGGTTGTTTTACTGCAACATGGCCTCCATAAAATAACGAGCTCGATTGGAAATATCAAGGAAGCTGCGGGCCAACGAATTCGTGTTCACGCACGAGTCACTTGATTGTGCCATGTAATTTCTGGAAGGAGTAGTGTTTTTAGTAACAGTCAGTTGCTGTGTCATGCGTAGCTGCTCTATTTTCTCGTCCACACAACTGATAGCAACGCGAGGCCAGCGAACAATGGCCGTATCAAAAACGGCTTCAGAAAATTCGCAATTTTCATGGCAAACCACAACCGATCCAAACAAACAAAGTTGTTTTAGGTATAGTTTAAGACCTACATGTACTTCATACATCCATCAAGGTATTTTTTCGCAAAAAAAAAAGGATTTCGATGCATTTGACGATATTATTTCACGGACAAATCGATTAAAAATTAGGTCATGAAATTTCCGGTTTTTTTCCGAGAACGACGAAAGTCTCCCAAATGTCGAGGTAATCAAAGGAAAGATTGAACCTTCATCTACAAAAATCTCGTGAACGTGATGTCGTTAATAGTTTAAGAATTCGATGCACACCTAATGTTTCAACAACTTCCATTTTTCGCAACGCGAAAAGATCGTCGCCATCGTAAAGCATAGAGCGAGGAACCCAAACACGGTGTGACCTCGTACCCATACGCCCACTGATTGGTCGAGCTCGAGTATATGGCCTGCTTATATTCATAAGTCATTCATTGCACGTTCACACGTGCTATTCACAATGTTTTCAGGCCAACGTACATGTACATTTGTACGTCGTCGTACTTACGTTCGTTTACACTCGTACATGTGATTGCAAATCATGAAGTCTCGCAAAAGTCTTCATTTTTCAACGGCGATTGGGACCAAACATTAGAAGTCTAGCTCCTGCACGTGTTTCACATGAATATGAAGCGTATACTTTCCTCTATCTACTGAGCCTTGCCGTTTCTTTGGGCCTTTTTTAAGAATCGAATGTACACCTAAAAACTATCGGCCCTCACTTTTGTTGATAAAAAATATGATTTTGTTTGACAGGCCGTAACAACACTTTATATTTGTCAAAAGCAGTTATTTTTGGTATCAAAATAAAGCACACGATTTCAACTTTTCACTTATTTAGCCATCTTGGCCAAACAGTGCATGTATTCAGGCACTTTTCGTGTTTTTGTGTAGTCTCGAATATATCTTGTAAATAATCTCGCGTACGCTTTTGGGCCATGCGTGCATGACCTCGGGACAAGAAACTGAGGTCAAACAGGGCTGTGTGCGTGACACGGCCACTGACTGGTCCAAAAAATCATCCCAGTGACCCTATGATGACCTTTGACCCCATTTAGTCATGTGACATGTTGGGGCTGGGCTATACTGATACTTTTGGCAAAATTGGTTGAAATCTGTCAAAATATGTTGGAGCAATAGACAGTGTCAGCGTTTGCAGGCGCAGTTCTAGAGCCTTTATTTTTTGGGGGATAGCAGGTGGATCCAGAAATTGTTACAGGGAGGCGTGCTGAAAAGTAGACTGTTTTCTTTTCTCTGGACACTTAGCCTCCGAAAATCAATAGGTGGGGTGGAGGGGGGGGGGGGAGGGGCTATCAAATACTTAAATCATGCACACTACATGTATATTACCTAATATATTACCTTTTTAGCCCCTTCCCAGCCCCCCCCCCCCCCCAAACCACGCCTGAGCGTTTGTTACTATTCAACCATGATTAAACTATATAACGGAGAGATGTGACGATTGTTGAGCTGCTATCCCGCAGCTAAAATAAGTGGGAGGGGTGAGGGGAGGGGTGAGGGGGTGGTGACTATCTATCAACAAGAGCACTGTTCAAACCGGACAATGATGGCCACTATCGAACAATAGGTGGCGGCACAATTATTTGTACAAATACCCCCAAACAATTAGCATAAAGAACGTCAATCTTTATTTCAGTATTCCCATTATAGGCAAGGCAATGACAAACAACCTCTGAAATGTTGTTGTTTTTCGATCACCTTGACTCTTTGACTCTTGTTCAGGGACGCTATTATTTTTTCATAAATCTCTCCTCTAATTGCATGGATATATCCTAGAGAACAATTCCCAGCCTATAACCTGATGGATCAGCGAGCCGTTGCTATGGTTACCTTTGAGATCTTTCTGCTTCCAAGGCTGCAAGTTGTGGGGAGGGTCCGTGGAACACGTGATGTTTCTTTACGTTGCCGTTGACCACTCGGATGTTCTAATGACCAAAAAAAAGCAAGAAATTAACAAATTAATCCCCGAAGTACATACGACATTTACTCCACTCTCCTATGTTGGTCAAAAATCGGAACCTTTTCAGGATTAAAAAGCCGATTTCCCAGATGGCAAAACACGATATCGCAAAAGCAAATTCTCAGTTCTTGAAAAGAACTGAGATGTTTCCTTAAAGGTATACAACATTTGCTTTTGTTGTAATTTTTTAGCAATGGATGAATTTGGGGGGTTAGCATTTATAGCAAAAATAAGCAAGATCTGTCGCCCATGCAAAGTATTCAGTAGTTTACAATTGTAAAAGGGGCTACCCCACATTTACTTAATTTAATTAATTACCATAATTTTCCTTCCTAAAAGTAAGCTTAGCTAGATTAATAAATAAGCTGATTGTGATTTTTCTCCTTTTTATCAAAACTTCACTTTCTGTGGAAAAAGTATTACCTTTTTTAAACATGTGAATTCGTTGTAACCCTGGATAAAAAAAATGGTTTGTTGCAATAATTTTTAAGCTGATAGACAAGAAACCAAGATTTAATTTTTCCTGGCCAAATGGAGGCTGGAAGCTTTTGACTTTGGTGAAAGAGCTGTCTCCAGGAAGAAAAATGGGATTTTGTTTATTGGCATGGCTTGATGAGAACAGTGCAGTAATACAGACGGTAGCATAAATAAAAACCAAATTGGAATCTGTATTAAACACCGAGGCTTATTTTTATCCCTGTCAAAGAGAGGCTACAGTCTTCACCTCCAGAACGGACAAGTATTTTAAGTTCAGCCAAACTAACATGTTTCTTCAGAGAAACTGAAGCCTGTCAAACAACCGGAACAGTTAATCTTTCACGGAACATTTAATCTTTCACGCGGAGCAACCCCTAATGTTTCAAACAGTGTTACTTAAAGGGGCACTGAGTCCTAGAATACGCCCATTGGGCTACAAAAGGCATTTTGAATGAAATGATGTTAATCGGAAAGAACATTTAAAAGTAGGATATAAACACACACACAACTATATCCTTTAAAAAACTGGGCGCTTTTGTAGTATTCTGTGTTATTCGTGCCAACTTTCGGGGTCCACTTTTACGACCCCAAAAAGTTGGGCTGTTCATCCTAGTTGCGATTCCAGCCGTAAGGGTTCGCCTTTTGCGGACATGTATTTAAAGAAATCACATTTTGTGCATTGGAGATTGGTTACCGCTGTTCGTGATCACGGTGCTCAGGTACCTGTCTGATACTATGGACACACACAACGCGTATCGTATATTATATTAAACAACAATAGACACGTATCATACTCCGTCGTGTCCGATGTGAACAATCAGGCTTTTTTGGTCTTTTCTCGGGATGGTAAGACATCATGGTTTCCTTTCAACCAGATGTTTGAATTAGGATAAGTAAACAATCCAGAACATTAAATTTTGGGGGATTTCAGGACGCAGTGCCCCTTTAATGTATTGCTTTTGCTGTAAGTTTTCAGAAATGGATGGATTTGGGGGTTAGTATTTTTCTTGTCAATACATGTTTACAGCCTGTGAGTCAACAAGAAAGTGACCTGGGCCAAGTTCGGGCAAGGACCATTAGTCCACTAATGGTTGATTTGTGACGTACCTTACGCCTGCGCACTGATAGCAACGTGCGAACGTCTCTAGTCAAACGTTGGTCAAAATGTCAACGCAAAACTTCTGGATCCTGGCTCTCTGCTAGCGTATTGGTTACCAGCGAAGCAACCGACCCCAGTAGGCTGGTTCCAAATAGTCGACTAGCGTAGTCAATCACCGTCGACTAGACAGAGTTCGGGCAAACGTTAGTTAACCATTGGTCAACTATAGTCCTAATGTGCGAACTTGGCCCTGGATTCATGATTTTTAGGCTCTGGCAGGAACTTCTACATGTCACTTGGTGGTCAGTCGGTCGGTCCCCGGAAAATTGACTAAACATGCCCCCTAAGTGTGCCATAAAATATTAATAAGAAATTTCAATTAAAAAAAAAGCAAACAAAATTAACTAAAAATTAATGAAAATTGCTTGCAATGCGGAGGATGTTTATGAAAGTTTGTAAATGGAGGCAAACTATGTGCAGTAATGTTACATTCGCATGGTATTTATTACAAATCGCTATAAATCTAGGTGTAAATCTAATATAGGGTATGGTGTTCCAAATGTGCCATTGGCGTCGTATTTTTGGGCGCCACATTTTTAAGCTCAGGCAGGGATCATTTTGATAGATTTCATGCAAGACTTTCATGTAAGGCGGCCCGAGCTTATTGTGCACTCGCACTTGTTTTCTTAAAAGCAATTATGTGCACCAATGAAGTATGTCTTAAAAAAAAATGAATTAACAAAATTGTTCCATATGCTAGTAGAGGTTAGGCATGTTTTACTGAGAGAACTTTTTTATAGCTGTCCATGGAAAGATCTATATGAAAAAAGTTGCTACAAAGATTAAAACAAGCCTGACAAAATGGTTTAGCCCAATAGAACTCAAAGAGAAAATGGCGAAAGCCTTTGTTAACAAGCAGTACTTTAAACCCATTAACCAAAAACCAAAAATGCATAAGACTTCCACGACCACTTTCCTCTATTCTGAACTAATTGGCTGGGACTCACTGATGACATCAGAGCTAGGCCGGTGTCCGCGGATAATGCATTTTAATTAACACACGGCTGAGCGACGGTTTGACATGACAAAATTCACAGCGACGGCAACATGGTTATTGATCGGGCCGCATCAATTTTTCTCCCCGATGGAAGATATACGATCGGCTTAATGCTTAATGTAAATAAGCCAAATGGACTTTGAAGAGGGATTTTCAGACTCATGCTATTGAAATCAAACAAAAGGATTTCGTTTTTTTTTTTTTTTTTTAAGAAAGTGCGTGGTGTGTATCTGTATTTGTCAAGCGATGACGTTTCCAGTTTTCTGGTTGGGAAGTGAGTGCTGTTTTTATTCTGTCTGGCCGGAAGGCGGCTTGAAACCCTACGGACGAAAAAGATATTCACGGATGACCCTTGCTCATCCAAGCATCTAAGTAAACAGCATTATCTAAGAATGCTTTTTATGCATTAATAACAATATCTAGATGCAAATATTGTCTTTCTGCTAATGGGACATTTCATTCTGTAAGGATATACATGTAAAAGTGGCACTTATTTTAAATGACGCATTGCAATTGACCTATTACCATTTAGCCCTATGGAATTTTACACGTTAAAGTTTTGTTTGAGTTTTTGCGCGTTCCGCGTCCATTTGTATGTAATTGGACAATGTAATCTGCGTTGACGTGATTCTATTGTCATAGGTTAATTGTTGAGCAAGCAGTATTGTCACAAAAAGGATCTTCATGGATTATGACTCTTACTCATCCAAGCATAAAAGATCCTACATTGTCTGTCTGTCTGTCTGTCTGTCTGATGTTTGTGTGTCTAGTTTTAGTTAAAAAGGCCTAAGAAGCATGCGGAAACACAAAACGCAAGGGTTAATAGAGAAGCTTGGTTGAATATTGTATAAGTGGTAGCTATATACCCTGATTTAACTGTCCTCTAAAGTCACAATTGGCATGACAAAAAATTATAATTTTTGTTTTGTTTTGCTTTTTGTTTTTTTTGGCAATTTTTTTTCTTTCAGTATTGGAACAATTAAATGTTAGAGGCCAAAAAAAAAAAGTTCTGCTTCTGGTTTCCCTACCTACCCTATCCTGACAGCCCCTACCTTATTTTTTTTGGGGGGGGGGGGGAATGAGAAAAACTCCCAAAACCATCAATTTCTACCTTTTACCCTTGACTACACGCAGACGCCTCCATACGATTGTACACAAAAAAATTGGCCAAGAAAAGTAATTCCCTACCTACCTACCGTATTTTAGAATGCCATGTAATGGGAAGCAGAATTTTTTGAATTTTTTTTTTGCCTTACAACATAATCTCTATGAAACACTCCAAAACGTATCGCTATCACGCAAAATATAACTTTTATGATGACAAATTCGTGCAATATGTATTTTGCAACCTCGTTATTTAAAGACATCCCGCTAAGTCTAAGTACAGGACGCTATCTAAGAATGCTTTTCACGTATTATTTAAAACATTCCCGGCAAATATTGTCTTTTTGCTAATGTAATGTCATTCACCACGGATGCATACATTGTAAAAGCGCCATATTCTGTACATGTCATTTTACTGACGCCAAGCAATCGTTGATCAAGCAAAGATTTGTCACAAAAAGGATGAATTCATGCATGGCCCTTACTCATCCATTAGCAACTATGTAAATGATGTTATCTTCAAGAATGCTCTTATGCATTATTTACAATGCTCCATGAAAATACCTATTGTCTTTCTGCTGATGGGAAATGCCATTCATCGCGGATGTAAAAGTTTCACTAATTTTACTAACGCCTTGCAATGGTTGCTCAAGCGTGAAATGTTAAGTCGCATAACACTAATTATGCATGATCTTCTTGCACACTAAGTATCATGAACATGGTTGTTCAAGGTAAGATTTACAAAAAAAATTGTGAAATTTGGGCTCACATACATGTACAACGTGGTCTTAAAAATATGCCCAATGTTTAATAGGCAGATTTCTCAAATTTGATGAGATAAGTTGAAATTAATTTCAGATATTCCTGAACTACACGATCTAGGTCGTATGGTGAAGACGGTGTTGAAAATAAGAAATAGTTGCCATTTTAATACAGAAAAATGGTCAGTAATTACTTCGTCCGCTTCTATGGCAGTCGTATAGACGACTAAATACCATTATTGCAGTTCTTTGTGCGTGCAGCGCTACTGTGTGGACCACACTGGTATCTCATAGAATCACGTGTGGACAAACTGGTTTTTGACCATCTTCCTTTAAACCATCGCCATTTCTTAATTTAGCCTTTTTTTCAGCACCGTTTTTCACCATATACCATGAAGATGCTTTAGGATTTGGGGTCAGGGAACTACAAGAACATGATTTTTTTCTTGGTTTTCCCAGCCTGTACG